TCAATTTCTTTATTTCTTAAGAGCAAATAGTTTCCTAGTTCAAGTAATGAAAGGCTTTTTATTCCTGAAATTACATGGAATTTTTCAAGTAACTCCCACTTGACATTTGCTTCTTAGAAGGGAAAAATAACACGTCCATTCTGTGGGTTCTCATCTTCTACAGAGGAGGAAACTGAGACCCAGAGTTCTAGAATCTGCTGAAGGCCACCAGAATGTGGCAGATCCCACTTCTGTGCATCTATATCTGGTTCCAAGTGCCACCTCCCCCAATTCATACTGGGTGTCTGAAAGGAAAGTGAAGAAATAGGAATGTGAGATTCAGAATGAGAGAGAAGACAAGAGAATAACAGTCCAGAGGAATGATTAACAGTCAAGATGAAAGAGAAGATAAAGTCACAAAAATGATGTACTATTTTCTATACATAGCATAGGATCTGCATGGGTTTTGATACCAAAGTAGACACACACGCATAGCCTTAAGAAGCTTGTCCTGGGTCTGGATGAGCAAACTCAGCTACAAAGAAGTGAAGAATCACTGTTTGTCTTCAACAAGGTAGAGGCCAGCTTCACTTTTGGAAATAAGTCTAACTCTCCTGGACACAGTATCTGGTTATAAAGTAATTCATTCTTACATAGTTTTGTATATTAAAATAAAATAAGTACAAACATTTTATAATGTAATTTAATACTACAAAGTATTCTAACAATAATGCACAAAGGATAGAATCTATATTCTTGACATTGTTTATTGTAAATAATTGAAAATTTAACTTTTTACCAAATGATTTGAGTTACAAACTCTGTTTTATAAAAATATATGTAAAATATTGATTATATTGGTAGCATTTAAAACTAAAGGACATAAAAAATTACAAACATCTATTATATAATCATAAAATTATGAACTTATTCATGTGACAAATATTCATGAGGTTTATAGTTCTAGGTGTTGGAAAAGAGCAGTAATCAAAACAATAAAATACCTAAAGCTAACATTCTAGTGATATATTACAGCAATACCTCATTTGTCAAACTCAATCTGTTTGAAATTTGTGATTAAACACTGAAGAGTTTGAGAACTAAACATATTTTTCCCATGAGAAATAATAGTAAACCAAGTAATTAGTTGTGAGGCCCAAAGATTGCAGTTATGACTTAATTTCTCAAGACTTTAACAAATTTTGCAATGATTTCTTTTTTTTAATTGAGTTTATCAGTACATTTTAGGTATACAGCACAGTTATATTCATCATTGGGATCTTGTGCCTTTACATGACAAGTCTTGGTTCTCATTTTTTCCTCATACCCCTGCCCACCCTTCACCCGCTCCTCTGCAATGATTTCTTTAGCTCTATCATGAATGTGTTTTTCTCCTAGCTTTACTGCTGGTATCACTAACTTTCTCTGGAGCCATGGTTACCATATTTTATACAAATAAAGTGCAAACAGAAAGCGTACTGATGAACATTTTAAAGCACCAACACAAGCACTATACTTGTCCAGGTTAGAGGGGTGCCTATACTGAAATGACACAGCTTTGTGTCTAGGTGGCGAGATTCACTCTCAGCCCTTACAGGGTTTTTCAAGTTGGATTTTCAGTTTGGCTAATGAGCAAAGTGGTGAACACTGAGCAGATTTTTTTTTTTTGAACTTTCTTGTTTGAGTAGTGGAAAGTTCAAGCTTGGAGCAGTTCAATAACTGAGGTACCACTGTATATTGGAATTTTTGTTTATTTTTAGTGTATTGTTTATAATTGTCATGTCTCATTTGTTCTTTTGCAATACACTATAGATAGTGTTCAATTTTTCAAACTGAATTTATTCAAACTGTTTAAATTTGGTTATAAACCAAGGTTTTAAAAAGTTTATGTTTTTAATGAGTTGAAATTTTATATAAGAAATTACTTGAAATCCATGGTTAACATTTTAGGGGCCTTAGAAAGAAGCAAAACATAAATCTCAAGCAATATTCTCTCTCTACCTCCTCCCTCCTTTCCTCCCTCCTAACCTCCCTCCCTCTCCCTATGTTTCTGAATCATCAGCACAACCTGGTGGCTATTTAAGCAAACTGTTTGGTGCAGTGTTTTACTAAAGTTTCCCTCATATATGTGTGTGTGTGTGTGTGTGTGTGTGTGTGTGTGTGTGTCTATTGTATAAATAAATTCAAGCATTTACAAAATACTGTGTGAATTGGTGTTCTAACAACAATCTCATTGGAAGATCTGTCTCTCCCAACATGGATTAAATTTTTATAGCAAGAAGAGTATCACACACTCTTTTACCATACTCCTTGTGCACCATGGGAATTTAATACATATTTTGAATTAAAATTAACAATTATATTAGTTATTTACAAAATTTTGAAGGTCATGTCAGTTTTGCAGGTGATTTATACCAACTTTATAACCACCTTTACTGGATCTGTGATGTTTGCAATCTGAGGAGCCTGAGATTGCTTTTCCCTCAAGAGCCCTTTTCATTCAGACAGAAGCAGAATGATTATTTGCCAGAAATGTCTTTAAAATATTTCACCATGGACAGGGTGCTTGCACTGAAAGACTGCTGATCCTAAAATTTTAAAACCATATACTACTTATTAAAGTCTTTTCTGTTGGGTCGTGTTCCCACTAGCTAATTCAGGAACTCAACACCCGTGAGACCCCCTAAAGAGTTTCGGAGGGCCTTCGGAATGATGTGGTTGTGCTTAGAGCCCTATCAATGACCTCAGCACTGCTGGGCTCCCAAGTATCCACTGCCACTTTACTCCAGCTTCCTCCTTCTCCTCAGCCGGAGGATCATACTGCCTGGAAGGAAGAATGGTGATTTTTGTCCCTGAGCATTTGTCAGTTTAACTGTTGGCCCCTCTCCAGTAGAGAAGACATTTTGTGGGAACACAGACACAGTTTCCAAGGCTCTGCAGCCAGCTCCTTACGCAGAATTCCACCTCCCCGGGCTCTCATTTCTCACCTCCTACATTTCAAGGCTGCTTTCTGGATGCCGGCCACTTTAATTCCTTTTTTTCTTGTTTGTTTTCACTAAGATGAATTTAAGGGGGCATTGACAAGGTACTGGGCTCTGCGTTTGGGTTATAGGACTGAACTACGTAGGCAACTTTTAGCTCTTAGGGAGCCATTTCCAGCTTTTATGGAGCATCCATTCCGACAAGTAAAAGTGGAAGCAGAACAGACCATCTCACAGTGAATCCATGAAGCTCACCACTCATCAGACTTTACAAATCTCCACCGGGCTTGTCTAAATGTCTCTTCATAAACATTGGATTTTACTAGCTTCTGCAAATACTACTACCTTTAGTGAGTTTTATGATGAAATTGTGAACAATGTAAACAATGATAACCGTAACAGAAGTCTAAGTGATTGAGAGTGAAAACATTCTTCACACTGTGTAAAATATATGCAGGCACGAGATAATAATTCGATTTACATATTAGGCAGTGTCTACTATAGAAAACATTTCTCCACCAGGACATAACTACAATTTCTTACTATAGTGGGAATTCTCTGAATGTAGGAAACTCTACTTTGTTTTATGTTACATCTTAAGGTTAGGGGTAGGGTTAAATTGAATTCAACAGTGAGTATTACCACTCTTTCCCTAGAAATAGACTTGGTTACATGAAAGATCAGAATAGTGAATTCATTTAGTGTTCTGTAGCTAAATAATAGCAAGAAATTTTATGGAGAACACAGTAAGAAATTCTAAGGCTGTTTACCTTGGTGAGGAAGAGTCTTTATCTTCTTTCCCAGTTACTTACAGTATCAAGTTCTACAGTTTGTGCTCTGCTTTTCCATCCATATTCATTTCTGAACTGAAAATAACCAAGATGGTGTCAAAAGACAAAATTGCAGCGAATTTGAAGCTCTTACTTGTCTTAAAAAAAAAAGATTCTAGAATAAAGCAGCCTCCATAATCAAAACTGCTACAAAGAACTCTAGGTCTGCAAAGTGGCCAGATAACATTTAGGGATGGAAGATGGGAGCCAGGTACAGAGAAAGTTTACTGGGTGAAAGCTCAGTGTCTTGCCTTATATGAATCAGCTGGCCACCTGGGATTGCTGGACGCTCAGCTGCTGTGGTCAGTTAATACTTATCTATTTATTTTAAATTAGGTTGCAGGTCTCTATTGAAGAATTGAATTACAGTAATATCTTCCACCCCAAATTTAGTTTAATTTAACAGTGGTCAGTATGGACTCTATGCCTACCATTTTGAACATTAGCCTGCATTCCTAAACTCAGCATTAAATTGGTGTTTGGTTAATGTCTGGGAATCTGCCTTGTCTTTGGCCTGCTGCAATTTCCTCTACCTCCTTTTGTCAGTGCCTTGGATATTTGATTACAATCCAGTCCCTGCCGAGACCGATTAGATTCTTACCTTAAATGCTGAGTGAGAATCTCATAGTACCTGTATACTTTCCATAGCACACAGAATTAACTGGTATTAATATTTTGTCATATTTCTGTAATGTTCCAATCTGTAATTGTCACATAATGTTGCATGTATAGTTATGTTTTCCCTGAATGCATTATGCTCTGTTACTTTTGGTCTTTTTCTCATGCTATTCCTTCTAGAACACTCCGTGTCTTTGCTGTAACTATCCATCTGACAAAACACACCTCTCCCTTTGTTTATTCTGCTTTCTTTTTCTGTCACCTCTTTAAACATCCATTGAGTCCTCCAGCCTTTTAAACCCAGCTGAGGTTGCTTGAGTCCCAATATACTTATCATCTTCACTGAATATAAAATCATTATGTAGATCCTATTAGACTTGAACATCTTTCAGGACAAAGTTCATATAAGTTACTTGTCACTTTATCAAGATATCAGAGATGCTTTTGATACATAGGTAGGAGGTTTCTAACCCTGGAAATACACAGGAGAGGTGAATGTTGAGCAGAGAGACAGTGAACATTACAAGACACGTGATTCTTGTTTATTAATTCTCTTCTACCAATTTTTAAATCCCGATCAAATGTCACGGAACCCAGAGCCAAAAGTGAGTAAAATTAACTCTATACTGAATTTACTTGGACACCAAAGTGCCATTCATGTCCTTGTTACCAAAATTCATTCTGAGCATGTGATTTGAATGTAGCCTAAAATTCAACAATACAGGTGAGTTAGGCCCTTTTGGCTGTGTCTTTCTTATAATTTTTACTAGATGTAAACTTCATGTTCAACTTACTTTGTAAAATTTGAATTGAAAAGACCCCATAATTTTAGCAGACAAGGTTGATGTTCGATGAAAGAAAAGTCATTATTAGCACAGCTAATAATGTGACATTGATTGTCACAATAGGAAGATGGAGTTTTCTTCATGAAAAGTAAAGTACAGAGTAAGTTACAAAAACCTTTATTTTCAATTAATTGTCAATTAATGCACTCTACATTTTCAACAAGTATTCATGTTTCTAATTTAGATGTTAACTTTTTTGTAGATGTCTTAGTTAATCCATTATTTAGCTTATTAAAAAATACTATGAAAAAATACTATGTCAAGGTTGACAAGTAACAGAAAATGATTCTAGAAATTTATAGAAAGAATATTAGGGATGTAGAAATTTAATGTGAGGTAGTAAAATAATAACCGGAGAATCAAAATATGAAGGCAACATTGGAGGTCAAGGGCAGAACACATTTTAACCACAATGTCATATCCTCACTCCATATACTGACATCAACCCTAGATCCTGTTGTAGTCAAACAAATGGTCTTCAAATGTCCTATGTTTTCATTACTGCCAATAAATTTTACAAGTGGAAGCATGCAATTAGCTGAATTTCAGTTAATGTCCCAGTGATATTTTGGACTTGGTGTGAGTGTACCCCCAAAAGTTCATGTGCTGGATGCTTGATCTCCCCTATGGGGCTATTAAGAGTTGGTGAACATTTAATGGATAGAAACTAGAGAAAAATAAATAGTTCTTGTGGACACTTTCCTTGGAAAGAATTAATACTGGTTTATTGCAGTGAGTTCTTATAAGAGCAGGTTGTTATAAAGCAAGGCACATTCTGTATGTGTGTCCTTTCTGTGTGCACCTGTTTCCTTTCCAACTTTTTCATCCTGTTGTGATATAGCCCAAGGGGCCTTCACTAAATGCTGACATATGGGACTGTCCAATCTTCATCTCACAGACATCAAAACTGTAAAACAAATAAACCTGTTTTCTTTATTAAGCTCCCAGCTACATTCATCACTTTACTATCATTGGAACAAAATACCCAACATCTGCAAATCAAAAAAGTTTATTTGACTCACAGTTTCAGTGGGTTCAGTGCAAAGTTGTCTAGCTCCAATGCAGAAACAGCATAGTGGAAGAGCCTAGTGGAGGAAGACTGCTCATCTCTTGGCAACCAGGAAGCAGAGGCAGAGAGGAGAATGCACATCAGGAGTCATGCATCCTTCAAGCTCATACCCCCAGTGACCCACTAGCCCCTGCTTCTGACAGCATATTTAGCTACTGAACTACAGTGGATTAATCCACTGATGAGTATAGGGCTGTCATGATCTAATCACTTCCTAAATCTCTACCTAAACCCATGAGACTTTCAGGGGATATTTAAAATCCAAATTATAATATACTAGCCTTGGTTGTTTCTTATTGCAACACAAAATGGATTAAAACAGCCTCTTTTCTGGTTGCTAGGTGATGTGGTGAGGGGTCTTCTCTCCCATGTGATTTCTGCACTGGGATTCACCAATGTGCCACTGAATGGAGAGGTACCCCTGAGACACACATGCCTACTTGTGCTTCTACATGTAGGGAAACAAAAGACATACATTTTCAACTGGAGTTAATAGCGTCTTCGTATAACACCGAATGGTACTCTTGGGAGTGCTGTGCTTACTGTCTATCACTGATGGTGACTAAACTGACATAAAGAATGCAGATCATTTTCATTTAACTTCAATTTGTTTTTTCCAATTTTTACATACTTTTAAAAAATTCTGGCAGAAGCATGGAATATTGATAGGATCAAATGCTAGACTTGCTGGCCTGTAAAAATGTAATTTCCAGAGGCTCAGCTCCAGCATCATGAAGAAAAATATAGCCTAGGTTTGACCAAGAGTCAGCTTAAATTTATGTGAGTTAATGAAATAGTTCCTATTGGAGCAGCAGATACAGCGAAGAAATCTTGCTTCTATTTATTTTCCTTTATATTCACTTTTAAAAGCAATAACTATTAAATACTTCTTAAAAGTATTTCTAAGTATTTCTGTCAAAGCATGCCATTTTTCTCTTCAGTTTTTAGTTATCTTTTTTTCCTGTAGAATACTTGGACAGGTTTTAGAATACCACTTTGGTCTATCTGTTTAAAAGTTTATCTAAATGTGTAGCTTTGAATGATTTATCCAGGTGTTAAATGACCTGTGTAAAACACAAAGGTCTACAAGTTTATGTGAAGCTAGAAACTTGTCTTCTCTTGTGTCTCTTCACTCCATCATTTATAATTGTCTAAATATTCTCCTTATGTATATGTAAAAACATCTAAAGCTATAACAATTTTAGCTCCAACTATGAAGCGTAATTTAGAAAATTCAGAAATGAAAGCCTAGCATTCTTCCTACATCTTTGCTTACTATAGTCCCTGTTCCCTCCTGATAGTCTGTCTTTCTTTATCATTCACTTTATGTTTAAGAGTTTGCTTTAGCTGTTCTCTTAAGCTGAGTGGTGGTCACAAGTTCTTTGTTTTCCTTTATATAAGTATGCTGTGATTTCCTCTTCCTTTCTGAAATGTATTTTCACTGAATTTAGAATCCTAGATTGATGGTTTTTTCTTTCAGCACTTGAGAAGTGTGTTTTTCAGCATCTCTGCCTTTATCTTCTCTTTCTGGGACTCAAAAGATATGAATACTAGACCTGTGGCGATCATCTCCCTGGTCCTTGACACTCTGGTTTTGCTCAGTCTTTTTTCTTGCATTATTCAGAATAAGTAATCTCTATTATTCTACCTTCTATTTCACCTATTCTCACCTGTGTAGGCTCCATTTTGATGCTGATCCAACCCACTGTGTCTTTTTACTTTATCTCATGTATTAATTAAAAAAGAAAAGAAATGAAATAAAAATAAATACAATTTCTGTTTTTCTTTTTCATATCTTCTTTTTAAAAACAGATTTTGTATTAATTAGCTAAGACTCTTAATTGTCTTTCAGTTGTTTCAATGGTGTCCATAACTGTTTGTTGAGGCTTTTTGAATTCTGGCTGGTTTAAAATCCTCAGATAATTTGAGCATCTTGGACATCTTTGTGTTGGCATCTGTTGTTTGTTTCAATAAGTGAAGTTCTTGGCATGATGAATTATTTTTTATTAAAACGTGGATATTTTCATATGATGTTAAGATTTCTAGAGCTTATTAAAATCTTTCACTTAGCTGGCCTTTTATGACATGATTCTGTGCGAGAAGAGGGAGGCCATCATGTTGTTATCATAAATAGAAGTAGAAGCTTGGGTTCCCGTCTCAGCACTGTTAACACTAGGGGAGAAATGGCTCATTCCTGTTGGTTAGAAATGGGAACTCTGTCTCTGTACAAGTTTTCTACTTATATTGGTGGTGTTTTTGTTACTGACAATCCCGATCCTCCCATAGATCTCCTCTAACACCCTTTTGCCTGTGTATGAATATGGGGAGTATGCTTTGAGATGATTTGTTATAGCGAGGGTGGAGGTGTAAGCTTCCTACTCAGCCTTTGCTACTATGCTTTTGGGTGGGACTGTTTTTACTGTGGTGTTTGGCTGGAGTAGAATGTTTATTATTTATACATTTCCATCTAGCTCCAACTATCAAATGTAATTTAGAAAATTCTGAGGGAGAATACTGCTGCTAATTTTATTGTTTTTCAGTTGGAAAGCACATATTTGCTTGGACTTTAAGAAAAGATTGTGTATATTTGTTGGCATTTCTGTCTTGCTGACCTCTTCAGGTTAAGGTTTTGGGTATATGAAGCCAGAAGAAAAGCCAGGAAACTCCCCTTGGTATTTTCTGTGGGTCCTGAGTTCACTAATCAGTTGGATCTCTCCTTTCTATCTTTCAGAGACTTTTGACATTTGTTTTATTCTAATTCTAGATTGTTTTCACTGTTAGTAGAGGCAGAAAGAGTACGTATTTTGACTCTTTCCAGAAATAAAAGCCCTCTTCCAAAAATATATCTAAAGTTCTTTGGTGAGTTTTTTTTAAAGAAGTTTCTTATTTGTTGCGAGAGCATTTGTAATTGTTTGTTGAAGCATTTTTTTAATGATTACTACTCAATTTAGTATTTGAGTTTTCTTAGTGTGGCATCTATATAATTTGTTTCAAAGGGGAAGGGGTTTATTTGGCTTACAGTTCATAGAGGTTTCATTCCATAATCAGCTGTCTCTAAGGCAGGGATGACAAACAGGCATGGCAGAGCAGAAACAACATGGTTCACAAAAGTCAGCAAAGACAGCAAGAGAGTTGACAGTCTCCCTGTTCCTCTTATTTTATTCAGACTACTTAGGGTGGGTAGCGCTCACACCCTTAATCCTAGTGCTCTTGAGCCTAGCATTGCTTCATGAATCAGTTCCAGCTTCACACACTCTAGATCAAGTCTATGACCACATGAGGCTTTGGGAGGACATCTAGACCCAAACCACAACATTCTGCCCCGGAATCCCCAAAGACTCATGTACATTCCTTTACACAAAAGGCATTTATTCCATCTCTAAGAATTGCCAAAATCTGAATTATTTCAGCGTTGCTGAAAAGTCCAAGTCCAAAGTATCCTCCAAGATTTAAGGCAAACTCTTAACTGGAAGCCCCTGTAAAAATGAAAAGAAAGTCAAACACTTCCATCATTCAATGGCACAAGATAGATGTTATCATTCCAAAGGCTACAAATAGGAGGATACAAAGGAATGGGACCACAGTAAGTCCAAAATCCAGTAGGGCAAATGTTAAATCCCATGGTTCTAATTCCAGCATCCCCAGCAATCTATGGCAAGTTGTGAACTACAAAGGGCTCAGGTGGCTCTGC